GAAAGCAGGAGAAAGTATCCCAACAGGACGAGAGAGGACCAGGTTCCAGAAGGTGGGTGGAACCTTTAGGTTCTACCTTAGGCTATGAACAGTCTGCCTCCTGAATCTGATATCCTGTTGACAGGCCAGATTACGTGAACTGGGGCCAACTGGAAGGGGCCCAGAGCGTATCAGTCTTGATTTCCTGAGAACGCTTACATCTTTGGCTGGTTGAAATGTTGCACCAAATACAACATTCTCTGCAGAAAACTGAGTTTGAGAAGCCAATTGCAATGGAATCTGGCCCAAAAGGTATCAACTAAGAAGCATACCCGTATTTCCTGGCATTCTGCTCTGAGTTTTCTGGAGACCAGAACTTGCAAACCAGAGAACTTCTTAGTAGAAAGTACACAGTACAGTATGGGTTCAGTTCCATTTTCACCCGAATTAAAGTTCCAACCGAGGCTGCCCTTTTACAGGGGCCATGGAAGGATCAAGAGGACCATGGCTCCTCAGACATCCTCTCTCACCCACAGGACAGGGAGTGATTTGTTTTGCAGGTGGCGAGAGTAGTGAGAGCATGGCTCTGCAGTTAGACAGAGATGAAGAGAGCCTAGGCCAGCCTTGCAGACACACACCAGCTCATCTGACATAGTCAGGCAGCTTTGACAGGAGCAACAGGGCTGGCCTTATCTAAATTGTTCCCAGCCGAGGACAGAGACTTAAACCATGTCTCTAGTAAGCCTTCCAACCCTCTGTGAATTAGGAAGACACGCTCAGAGATGGTACAGGCTTTGCGGGAGATCCAGGACCAAAACTTGGACCTGAACGTCACCTGTTGTGAAATGATAAAAGCAAGATGCGAGTAGCTGACAGGAAACGGAAAGGGGAAAGGCCACGGCAGCCTGGACCCTCCCTTTAGCCCTCAGAAAAAGAGGAAATGATACCAGTACCTGTGTTAGGACGACGTCTCAGCCCACCAGCACCAGAGCAAAGCCGATATGACCACCAGGCCTACAAGAGGCAGGGAGAAGATGGGAGGGTCTGGGGCGGGGGATGACTGCAACACATCGAATGAGAAAGAAGCACGAAGGAGTGATAAAAAGACATCGACACATGAATCCAACAGATGATGAAGATGAGGAAACAAAGAGAGAGGAGAAAGGAATCAAGAGGTTAAAAACAAGCAGCCAAAGGCAGTAGCGGTTCTCCTCTGCTGCCCGGGCCTTGGTCCTTTCCACTGGCAGCCTGCAGAAGTGCCAAAGTGAATGGGTTAAGCAGCTGCTGGGTCTGGATCAGGAGCCGAGTCCAGTTTTCTGTCTTGGCAAACACCCCTCATATCTCATCAAGTAGGGCTTCTCTGCACCTAGACCTATCTTCTGGATCAGTTGCTCTGGAAAAGTAAGGTCCAGAGAGCACACTGGGCTTCCTGAGGGGAATAGGGTGATACTTAGATCCCTCCAGGACAGACCAGTCTTCTGCCAAGCCACCTGTCTGTTCCGCTTTCCGTCAAGCTTCTCAGTATTTTGAGCTCGGGTTCCTATGAACCCCTAGGAATCTTAAGTTGCGAGACAAAATGCACAAAAGCGAGCTAACAGTGCAGAGGGGCTAGTTATTTGACTGTGACAATTTTCCAGAAAGTGACTGTGCAGGTAGAAACACTGATGCCCGCAGAGCTGCCTGCGAGACACAGGACCCGCTGGAGCAAGGGGACATCCTCCCGGGTAGACACAGGCGTCCTCAGCTTTGAAGTAGAAAGCTCAGGTCTGGCTTTAGAAATACAGCACCCAAGGTAAGGAAATCTCTGAGCCTCTGAGCCAGCATGTGGCTGAATATGGTGAGTGTAAAGAAAGATGACACTGGGAAAGGGGCTGTTGTCACCCCTGTACTGTTTATGACCTAGGAAATGGTCCCCTGCCACTAGGTTCACAGAGAACTGCACTCTGGCTTCTTCATCAGCGCTGCAGACTGAACTGCCAGAAAATTCCAGATATCCTAGGTGTTCACCTTTCTTTCCCTGTGGGAAGAGGAATAGAAAGAACCTGTACTTGGGGCCAGCAGGTGGCGTAGTGGTTAAAACACTGGACTCCTACATGGACCACAGTTGTTTGAGTCCCCAACCTGGTGGCTTGCTTTCTTACTTTCCCTCTCTCTTTCTCATTCTCTGTCTCTCTCTCTCTAGTAAGCACATATGCCCTATAGTAAATTTTTAAAAATAATAGATAAAATAAAAAATTATTTGGAAAAAAAAAAAAGAATATATGCTATAAACTGAGGCTGTATTCAAGAAGTACTCAAGCTCTTCAGGGAACTGGAGGCCACAGTTAGCCGGGCAGGAATTCAGTTGGTATATGCCTGTCCATGCATCAGTTGTTCAAATATGGAAATATTTCAGCCTGTTGGCAAACTACCCCTGCCAACCTGGCATATACCCAGAATACCTCCACTCCCAACCTCAAAGGTTCTCAAAGCAACTGAAGGGCTGGGGCTATGGTGTGTGTCCTCGGGCTAGTCAAGACCTCTGCTGTGTAGACTGTGAAATATTTTGACTATCGCTTCACTTCTTTTTCTTTAAAGAATTATTTAACTTTATCTATTTATGTATTCATTTAAATTTGAACAGAGTGGGATCGGAGGGAATGAGCAAGCAAGCTGCCAGGTCTGAGACTCAAACCACAGACAGCCATGTGGAAGTCCAGCGCCCGTAACCACCATGCAACTTGCAAGCCCCTTGACTATCACTTCTGATCATCTCTCACCCCACTCTCATGTCCTGTAGTATACAGAACCCTATAGCCAACACAGGCTGCCAAGGAGAGATTACCCCCTTCCCCATACCACTGACAGCAACGACACAGGGTAAACCTAACACACCACCGGAAACCGAATGATTTGCCCAGGCTGATGTGAATACCTGGAAGAAGGCCTCACGTGTGTCCTTCATGCCATGCCAAGAAGAGGGGTAAGAGAACCTCTCGGACGCAAGGAGGGTAATAGGACTATGATGGAAATGAAAGAAGACTTCAAAGACCTCTTGGTTCCCAGAAAAGGTGGTCCTCGCAAGATAGTTCCACAGCATGTTGGTCTAAGTCTGCCACTTCCAGCAGAAAGCCTGCTGTCTCTAATCCCCCCTCCACTTCCAGCTTCCCTGAGCGCCATGCCTGAGAACTCACTGGCCTCTGTTCCTGCAGGAGTGCATGCTCAGCAAGATCACCCCTGTACACCAGGCCACCTGAGTCCAAGAGGCCACTTCCCACTTGATCCAGGCTCCAGCTGTGATTACCTTTTTGCTTTCAGAAAGTCTGAGGGGGTTGGTTTCCTCTGACGTTTCAGGAGAAGGGTCGTCAGCCTCTTCATCTTCATTGTCTTCTTCCTTATCTTCCTGTTCTTTGACCTCATCATATTCTTCCTCCTGATCTTCTGCTGACTTAACTTTCCCAAGATTGCATGGTTCAGTGGCTAGTTCATTCCAGGATGCCTCTGTTTTCTCTTCCACTTCTTCCTTTTTTCCCTCCTCTTTCTCCTCTTTCACTAGCTCGTCTAAATCCCTCTGGCTGGCCTTGTAGTATAGCACCACCTCCAAACTCTGTGGGGTGGAGGCGGGACAGGATGGGCTGTTAGCTGTGACCAGCTGTGCTCTTACCGTGCTATACGAGCTCAAGAAAACTCTACTCCCAGCTCCTCTCGGTGCACCAGGGCAGTACTGTATCCCAGCCTGTGAGCCAATCCCCTTGAGCATGTCATACCAAGGCAGTCATACCCAGCCTCTCTATCCAGTCCAGCTACTTGGCCACTGGGTCATTTCAAACAGCTGCCAGACCTAAAGATTACTGGGCTTCACACCCACCCGGCAGTTACTTCCCATCCCTTACAGTGACTCTATTTTACCCAAACCACTTTTGTTTATCAATATACAGCTACTTTAACACATTTCTGTTTCTGTTTATCCTTCTTTGGACTTGTAATGCAGGAAAGACAGGGGCCCTAGATAATGGGACGGCCTAACTGAGGCAGGCGTTTAGGCCAGGGGCTGTGGTCCTTTGAAGCTGAACCCCAGATAGGAGTTGTCTGTATTCCACTGCTGCCATGGCTTCACATGAAACGGGAACACCAGATTCCTACCAAGATGGAACTACTATAGCCCCATTAGAGATTCCAGATGCTTTTCTACAAAGACCTCGTCTGGCTGGAATGGGGGTGGGCACGATGTTCCCTCCTGGGATCGCGACCGCCTTTCTGCTCATCTGGTTGCAAAAGTACTACTCACCTTTCTGGTCTCAATGCTGTCCTCAGAACTGTCTGAACATAGCTTGGCCACCTTTTTATTTCTAACCCCATTGGCATTTTTGTTCATATTCTTATTGCCATTCTTTCCCCTGGCCTCTTTGGCAACAGAGGGCTTCTTCTCCTTGAGCTGGCGCAGCTCTTCCTGGCAGCACTGCAGCTGCCCCTCCAGATGCTCCTGCACGGCCAGAAGCCGCCCCTGTTCATCCATGCTAGCCTGGTATTGCAGCTGCAGCTCCCGCAACTTGCTCTGCAGCTCTTTGATCTGTTGGGAGTGGAGGGCCAGTTACCCAGAGCTAGGCCCACATGGCCGGTCACTGGCTCAGGGAGCTCCCTGCTAAAGCCTAGGGGGAACATTCCACTGTGGGAAATGAGCATCTTAAACTGTCCCACAGAGAGCTTCTCCCTAACGTGAGGCATCTGATGATTTACATCTCACGTGACCAAAAATGGATCATTTAAATTGTGTTCTGGGGCTGGTCCTGTGGCCTGTGGTTAAGTGAACTAGATCCCACACGGCTGACTACGGTTTGAATCCTGGCCCTGGGTGACTTGCAAAACAGGCTGGGAGTATGTGCAGGGTGTCCCAAATCTCGACAGGATGGAGAAATGTGGGAGAAGGGATTGCAGAGTGACCTCGCCGCATCAGTGGATGCTTTCTTCCTCTCTCTCTCCTTCTCTCTCTGGTTAAAACACACACACACACACACACACACACACACGCACACACACAAACGACTATCTCTATCTTTGCTTTTTCCTGTGGCCTGTTTAGGGAATAACCACAGGACTGCAATTCCTTCCAAATCCCAAGGTTTTACCATTCTTTTTATAAGAACTCCTACTTCGCCCAGCGATTTTTCTAATCGGTATAATGATTTAATTGCTCCTGCACATGTCCTGGGCTCCTGCACCTGCCCCTGGAAACAGAGGCAAGTTCTGACCCTCCCAGATCTCTGCTTTGGCCTTCTTCAACTGATGGCAGCAGGCTGCGACCCCCTCAGTGCCCTCGGCCAGTGCCAATGCACCAGTCTGGGGCCACGCGACCACTGTGTTCTGAATCTCTCCCCGGCACATGCAGTGACCCCCGCTGCACCGTGAACTCCTGGCCAAAGACAATGCCCTCTGTCCCATTCCTAGTGGATGCTGTGCTCTTTTTGGCATCCTGAGAGCTCCAAAGCAGAGACGAGGCCCTGCCTTTGAGGTACTTGTAATCTATCGGGTCATTGGAAAAGTCCTGATACATTTTAAATAGGGGGACAAGATGTGTAACATGTGAAATAGCGAAAGAGAACTGGCAGGTGACAAAATAACTCTAGAGAAGTGCTCTAGGACACAAAGCAAAAGAAAACAGAAGCGGCAAGGGGAAAAAGAGAAATCGTATTCCAAGAGAGGAGTCTTGCTGACCAGTAAGTACATCCCGGCTCAATGGGCGGCTGAGAAACGTATTTGCCCGAGAAATGCCCAGCGGTGACACAGCAGACTGCCTGGCTCCTGGGATTCGATTGCCTTGCTCTGTCCCTCTGAATTCTCTGAAATGACTATGACCTCCACACTCAAGGGACTCCTAGAGGAAACCCTGACTCCCTGGCCGTGGTTACCTCGTTCTTGTCGCTCTGGGGGGGCACAGGCTTCTCGAGGCACTCTATGCACTCTTTGAATTCCTTCTCGCAGACAGTCAGCTCTTCCTTCAGCTCCTTCTGCCTGTCCAGGAGCTTCTCCATCTGCTCCTGCAGCCGGCTGTGCTCCTCCTGGCTCATCTGGTACATGGCCTGCACTGCCTGCAGCTTGGTCAACACCTCGGCGACCGTTTCCTCGAAGTGCTGCGGAGGGTAGGGGGCAGTGACGGCACCCCGCAAAGCACCTGCCCCGCTCTCTGTGCTAGGTCCTTCCCAGGCTACAAAACATTGGCCCTGGGGATCTGGAGCTGCCCAAGGGGAATACCGCATCTCCCCCAGGAAGAGCACTGTGGCTGTGGGAATGAAAAGTCCTGACTCTTAGGCCTCTTTCCAGATGAGGGCATCTCCATCCAGGGAGTTACGGGGAGGCAGGGCTGCCATGGGCAAGGCCTCTCTTCCCATAGTTCCCCAGGGCAGCTCTGATTCCAACCCAGCCTCATTTCTGTGCCCTTTCCCTGGCAATGTAACTCTTTAAAAGACCAAAGCCTGGGGACTAGCAGATGGCATAATGATTACGTTGCTGGACTCCCACATGGCCTTCTGCGGTTCGAGTTTCAGATCCGGCAGCTTGAAATTCACACTGGGTACATGTGCGTGCACACCCAAAACCCTGAGAGGAGAATAGAGAAGTGATTGTTGCATGGCCATCCCCCCTGGGGGGTGATTTCATGCTTTCTGTCTCTCTGTCTCTCATGCGAGCACATGTGCCCTATAGCAAAAAATCTGTCTAGAAATAATAATAAAAAGGCCAAAGCCTGTCTTGCCTTGCCTGGCCTGGCCTCTGGTGACTGTTACCTCTATGTCTTCAGGCTCAGCAGGGTCGTCATCATTGCAGCTGCTGGCGTAACTCCTGTGGTAGGTGTCAGAGCTACTGGTGCTGCCACAACTCTTCTTATAGGTGACACTGCTGCTGCTGCTGCTGCTGCTGCGGTAACTCTTCTCGTAAGTGTCGCTGGCGTTGGTGCTGGTGCTACTGTCATAGCTCTTGAGAAAGCTCTCGTTGCTGACCTGGGTGCTGGCGTAACTCTTCTGATAGTTGTCGTCCACATCGGTGGAGCTGCCGTAACTCCGGTGGCAGTTCTCGCTGCTGGGGGCCGTGCTGCCGTAGCTCTTCTTGTAGGACTCGAGGCTCCTTTTTATGCAAGGGGACTGGCCTCGGAGCAGCTGCATTTCTTCCAGGCAGAGCTGCAAGTCGGCCTGCAGCCTCTTTCGTTCCTCCAGGAGCCGCCCTTGTTCCTGCTGCAGCAGCTCCTGCTCCATCTGACTGGTGTCATACAGCCCCTGGAGAGCCTGAATCTGTTCCACCAGCAGCTTGTACTGCCAGGGTGGGGTGGGGATACACGGCCATTACTCTAAGTCCTCCTAGATGTGCCTCTCCGGGTACGGATGTCTGAGAGCACACCACAGAGGACCGCACACCTATACTTTGGTCTCATTGCAGCTGTGTCTCAAACCTAGCCTACAGGGGACAGGCCTCTCGCTCATTTGGGAAAATCTCCCTAGGGAAGGTACTTCATGATTGCCAGGATGCTATTTCTGCCGATACGGCCCTCTCTCCTGGGAGCACTGCTGAGTGGTCTCAGGAATACCCTAGCTCTCTCCTCCACCCTTTTCCCAGCCAGGTCTACCCATTATCTGAAACTTAGGCTCAGGGCTCTTTCCCCTCTTCAATTTCGAAAGCACCCCTGGCCTTGAATGTGAGTATGCGAAGAGTTCTTTTCATGAGAGACGCAGACTTGGAATCAAGGTCTTACTATGAGTCTCTGCACCTCCAGCCCTGAGTCTGAATCTGGCCTCTGGGCACGCTTCCCAGGTCACCCGGGCTTGGCTCTTGGCCACTGATGCCCAGGATGAGATCCGATCGGTTAAGGACATATTTTATACCTGGTTCCACTTGTCTGTGTTACCCAGGCTTCCAGCGTGGCTATCTGATGCCCTTGGAATATGACCAAGTCTCACGGTGTGGACTTCTTTCCCCTTGTCCAGACTGAAGTCTGAGTGAACAGATTTGGCCCAAACCCACACTGTCTCCTGACCCTTCCTGGTCCATACCGAGACCAGAGGCCAAGTTTGCCCCCCAACCCTGAACAGACGTTCATGCAGATCTCTGCCTGTGTCACTTCATATGCAATAGCCCCCTGCTGTGGTTGAGCTGCGTTTTCTGGTCTACCCCCACCTGGCTCCGTTACTGCCACCAAAGTTACAGTGAAGACTGGTGGTCAGTGCTGAGGCCCATCTGCTAGGAATCCTTCCCTTGGAGACAAAGGGGGTCCAGACTGGCCTCAGATAAGACTACCAAAAAGTTGCGGATTGTGATAATGAAGAAGCGTCCTTTTCAGCTTGCAAGAAAAGCATGACCCGTTTAGTCAGTCCAAAGGAATCTAAGCAAACACTAACTGGCATTCTACATTTTGGAAATGCTATGCCAATGGTCAGCCTACAGACATCCTGGCCATCCCAGTTCTGTTCTGAGTGTTCAGTGCTTCAAGGGGCAGAAGCTGCAGTGGGTGGGGGTGGGGGGGTCCTCAGGATGTGTGAAGCTCCATCTTCATGGAGCCTGTGACTGGGGAAGACCATGGCTGGTGAAGGCAGGACCTTAGCCTCACCCTTACTCCTAGCCAAGCAGGCCTTCCTAACTCTGACCCCTTTGTGAAGTCCCCTTCCCCACGATGCTGCTGTGCTCAGGAGAACCCTCTGCCCACATCTTGCTATGGTTACCTTGTCTTGACCACTTTTTGAGGACCTAGGCCTCTGAGAACCCTCAGGACTCTCCAACACTTCCTGGAGGTGAGACTCCTTGAAACATCGCAGCTCCTCCTGCACCTGTAGCTGTTCTTTCAGCACATGCTCCTGGTTCTCTACCAGTTTTTTCTGTTCATCCTGCATGCCTTGGTAGAGTAGCTGCAGCTCACACAGGTCTTGTAGTTTTGTAAGAAGCTCCTGACTCTGCGAGGTGGAGTGGAAGGGAGGAGGCAAGGGACCGTGGTGGTTAGATAGAAAGGCTGTGTCTCCTTTCCTGCACCTCCCTGGGGGGACTGATCCCCACGAATCTCTGTGTTGGCGTCACACAGTCTGTCTGTGGATAGGGGGAGTCTTTCTATAGAGACCTGCTAACTCAGGAGGTCTCTTAGTTTTGGATGTATTTCGTAGTGTACAAAGTGCTGTCAGGTGTGTTTTCTCCAGATGGACTGGATATCTAAATATAAAAGGCCACACAGATCCCAGAATATAAAATATGCTTTAAGTTTAAAAGCCCTTATGAGAATCAAAAAAACCCTGGGCTGACAGGTGACATGGGGGTTAAAGTGGCTGGATCCCTCATAGCTGACTGGGTTACTTAAGTTCCAGATCCAGTGGCTTTAAAACACACCAGGCACATGTGTGTGTGCCCAAAATACCCAGAGGAGAATGGAGGCGAAAGGACTGTGGCATGGCCATCCTCTGCTGTGGGGGCAGCACCCTATAACAATAATTAAAAGAAAAAACCCTATTCAGCACTGTGAAGCTTGTTGGTTTGGGGAGATGGGTGAGAAAGTAAGGACAGGTTGGTTAAGAGAGGAAAAAGTTCATTCCCATCTTATTTTTCCCAAGTCTGGGCATGTCTGGGAAGCTTCGAAAGCAGCCCAGGCCGTGGTTACCTTATGGAGGAGACCGCACTTGGGCAGCGGGAACGTGAGCCTGTGCAGCTCTTCTTGCAGCTGGCCCTGCTCCTCCTGCATCCTCCTCTGATCCTCCAGGAGCTCGCACTGCTCCCTCTGCAGCTGCCCCATCTCCTCCTGGCTGGCCTTGTACTGTTCCTGCAACTCTGTCAGTTTGGACAGCAGTGTGTCGCACTGTGGGTGGGGTGGGGTGGGAGGGACGGTTACTCTGTAAGCCAGGCTTCCTGGGGGCTGGCAGATACTCTGTGCTCTCCTGCCTCTTGCAACTCACCAGGGTCTCTCACCCTGCCCGGTCACCTGGGACTGACCATCCCAAGCCTCGCTGTGCCCATACAGACCTGGCCAACATGTGACAGGGGCCCTATGGGTTGCTATTCCAGCTGGTTGATTGGCTGTGCCCTGAGTTTCTTCTGCCAGTTCCTTCTGAGGGCAGTTTGAGAGGGAGAGCTGCCAATGCCCCCTTCTTACTTGCCACCTTCCTTTCCTCTGACTCTTTCCATTGGCCATTTTCCCACCCTGCTGGGAACTCTAGCTCCTGTTATTCTCATTATCCCCAGTTGGTTTTAGACTTAATTACGCTTCTTACCAATAAGGATTTATTTTTATTTTAATACCTTCCTAAACATCTTTGAAAATCTTTAGAAAAGCAAGAGATTGGACTAGCAGGTAGCGTGGAGTTTAAGGTCCTAGATCCTACATGGCTGACTTTGCGGTTTGATTCCCAGACCTGGCAGCTTGAAAATCAGGCTGGGCACATGTGTGTGTGTGCCCAAAAATCCTGAGAGGAGAATGGAGGACAAGGGATTGTGGCATGGCTACTCTCCCAGAGTGATTTCTGACTTTCCCTCTCTCTCTGGTGAGTGCATGCACTCTACAGCAAAACAAACAAACAAACAAAACCATACATGTACATATACACACACACATAACAAAAGAAAAGGAAAGCGGTCAGCAGGTGGCATGGTGGTTAAGGCAATGGACTCCCACATGGGTGACTGTGGTTCAAGCCCCAGACCTGGTGGCTTGCTTTCTTCTTCTCCTTCTCTCCCTCTCTGGTCAAATTGAATAATAATAAATAAATAAAAATAAATAAATAACTCTTAAAAATAAAAAAGAAAGAAAGAAAGAGAAAAGCAAGAGCGCTTGCTGAATATGGGTGAAGACTAAATCATCCCATGATCCCACATCTTCTCACATGGAACGAACCTCAGTGATGCTCTGTGTGCACCGTGCTGCCCCTTTCTCCACTAGAAGGGGAGATGGCAGGCACCACATGGGTCCCCGGGCCTCTGAGTTGAGTGGGGGTATTGGAAAGGTGAAAAAAGCAAGTAGGCTGTGAGGTGGACAGTCCTCCAGCACCTCAAGGCCTTTCCCCAGGGCACAGCCCGCTGCTGGCTGCGGCCAGAGCTACTGAAGATTCTGGCGGAATGTGACCAGCTCCACCATCTTCTAAGACTCTGGTACCTTTTGTCCAATATGCTTCAATACCTTTCCATTTCCTTTCTGTAATCAGAGGCTGAAGGTGCCCAACACAGTAAATGAAAATGGGCCGCATTTTATATTCTACAGGAAAAAAAATGAAGGTCTTATTTATCACTACCGGGATTCATTACTAAAAGGAAGTGAGATAAGAGTAGTATTCTGGGACCAGCAGGTGGCGTGGTGGATAGAAGCGCTAGATTCCCACATGGCTGACAGCGGTTCAAATCCTGGACCTGGTGGCTTGCTTTCTCACTTGCCCTTTCTCTGTCACTCTCAGGTCAAATTAAAAAATAAATAAATAACAATGACAAATAGAATTAAATAAATAAATACTATACTTCTTTAAAAAACAAACAAACAAAAAAGAGCAATATTCTATTCACTTCAAAGACAGTGAAAGTCAAGCTTTGAGAACTCCAAAATTACAGACTAAATTCTGGAAGATCCTAGGTCCTTCTAATGCCCAAACAGTTCCCTGGGCACAAAACCATACCTGCCCACAAGAACACTCACAACTGGCTTCAGAAAACGGGCTCTCTAGCTCTAGGAATAACAGTTGAGTATGTTCTTCTCCACGAGAACTGCTCCATGGTATGAGAACTACGCATCGCTGCAGTTCTAATGCCAATGCAGAAATGTCTACGTGCATGGAAGCATGTAACACTTTCAGGTGTTTGGACTAGGATCCAGCACTGATCCTAGTAAGCGGTGGCTCTGGTTTGAAGTCAAGGCCAAGATGGTTTTAAAGGTAGCAGCACATGGCCCTGCCCCTGCTGCCTGCCTAGGAAACCCCTCAAGCCCCTGGTGGATGACTTCATCGATTGCCTCTGTACTGCCTGTTCCTGGAGTGCGTGCCAGGAGCTCACACCTGTCTGACTCACAAGTACCTTGTTAGCACATTGCCCCTTGTCCTCTGGTGCGGGCTGGGTGGTCTTGAGCTGTTTCAGCTCCAGCTGGCAGAGCAGGAGGTCCTGTTCGAGCTGGTCGTACATGTGCTTCTGCCGCTCCAGCTCGTCCTTGCTGGCCTGACACACCTGCTTCATCTCCTTAAGCTGGGCGTGCAGTTCTGTGTTCTGGGCAGGAAAGGCAGGCCTGGCCATCAACCCAGACATCCCCTGCGATGCATGCTCTCCTCTCAGGCAGGGATGCAAGGGCTCCATCCTCCCCATCCTTCCCAGTTGGGGATAGCTAGGATAGACCCATCCCTGACAGGCTCCAAACACAGACCTTCTGGGGATTCTTCCTTTCAGGGGTGGGAAGAGAGGGGGCTTCCTTTTCATAAGCTGATTTCCTGGTTTAAAATCAAAGGATGCTGAGAGGATGGTGACTCCCAGAACAAATTTCTACGAAGCACCTCTTCGAACCCCTCACCAGCAGCTCCTCCACAGAACTCCTACCACTCCCATCCCCCCTCTGTAGGATTCTGCCTGGCTACACTCTCCCTCACCTGGAGCTCCTTTTACCTTCTCATTGGTCTCTTGGAACGAGGCCACCATGTCCTTGAGGCGCTGCAGCTCTGCCTCGTGGCACCACAGCTCCTTCTGCAGCCTTTCCTTCTCACAGGTGGTATCTTGGTGCTGCAGCTGCAGCTTCTGCACCTGGCACATTAGCTCCTACGGCGGGGTAGGGTAGGGTGGCTTTGGGTAGTGCCTTAGGGTCCCTTAACCCACTTGCTCTTCTGTCAGACATCGACAGCCTAAGAATGTACTTTTCCCTGTTCTTCACCTTTCGGGTGTCCACTCATCTAGTATATTCCTTGAGGGGGCTGGAGTTCTCTACCTGTGGTGCTACCTAGGTGGAAGCTGAAGCTTTTTAAATTGTCTCCTCTTATTTACCTTCCTCCAAACCTCAGACAGGTGCTCTTAGCACCGAGGTTGTCCCCTCACCTCTTGTTGCTGTTACCTTCTCACTGGGGCTTTCTATGACTGAGGATTTGGTGATTTTGAGCTGCCGGAGCTCAGTCTGAAGCTGTAGCTGTGCCTTCAGGAGCGCGTGCTGCTCATCCTGGCTAGTATCGTACTTTTGCTGCAGGGCACAGAGTCTGGTCTTCAGCTCCTCATTCTGCAGTAGGGAGGGTGTGGGTACAACAGTTACTCTTGAGAAACAGCAGACTCCTCTATAGACCACTTTGGTCCTTTTTGGTATGCAGACCTCTTGAGGCTCTCCTATAGGTCTACGGTTTGGTTTCTTCTGAGTAGCAGACCCTCAGTCATGACCGCCATTTCAAGAATGCGATGCTAGATGACTTCTGCAATGGGTCTCCAGTTGATCAGCCCCTGGCTGGAGGGCCACTCAGTGGAGCACAGCCTTACTTTCTGTGTTGTCTCCACCCCTGAAGCAGCATCTCCACGCAGGCCCTTCCACCCTCCCCAGGTGCCTCCCCGGGCAGCGTTACCTGGATGACGCTGTGAGAGGTCTGAAAACGAAGCACCTCATTCTGGGCGCACTTGAGCTCCCTCTGCAGCCGCCTCTGCTCCTCTTCACTGACCCGGCGATGATGCTGTAGCTCTTGTAACTCACAACACAGTTCTTTACACTGTGTGAAAAACGGGACAGGATGACTGCGTTACTACAGAAACTGTGTGCACTCCAGGGCCAGCCTTGGGGAAAAGTCTGACCTTCCTCAACTGGAATATTTACAGGTGAGCAAGACCCAGAGGCCCAAGGGTACTCTCTCCTGTCACAGTGTCTGCTCCTCTGTGTGCCCCGAGCCTGCCACAGGCCAGGAGGAGGGAGAAGAGGATGAGGAAAAGTGCCTGCCTCCCCCACCTCACATCACGCACCTGCTTCTCGGCTCCCAGCAGCTGCTGGCGCAACAACTGCATTTCAGGATCAGGCTCTAGGAAATCCATTTCTGAAGTCTGAGACTCTGTTGATACCATACTCCTTAGTGTTTCGGACTCCAGCCACTTCTCTGTTGCTCTTCGCGTCCTGCAATCCAGAAGCCCAGAGCCATGTGGGAGGGAGCTCTGCCTAGTAAAACAGCCCAGTGCCCCTCCCGACACCTTCATTCCAGGCCAGAGACAGGAAGGGGTTTTCTACTGTGATTCACCTCTCAAATAAACAAGTGTAGGAGTTTATAGAAGAAGTCTCCAGCACCTTTTCATCTGCAAAGGTGCATTTGGCTATGGGTGAGCCTAAGAGTGCCAGTCCGGCTGGTTTCAAGGTTGGGCATAGCGTCGAGCCAGCTCCAATCTGGAAACACTGTGCCATCAGGCTGAAATAAGTCTGTGTGGACAATGAAGGATTCTCTTCTGATCTACTCTAGCATAGAGCACACCAGACTTCAAGGTGTAGAATGGAAAAAAACACAACTTTAGAAATGGCTCATCTAGTCTTAACACAACTGGGTCAGATGCCCGTGTCTTCTTCTAGGTGGTGCTGATACCCTCTGGGTAGCTCTGGGAGCAGAGGGATGCTCACTACCCTGGCCTTTGCCTACAGGGGAAAGCCTAAGGCAGAGTCCTGCAGAGCTCACTAGCCCCCTGCTGTACCTCTCGATCTCCAGGTCGGCAAGCTGCCCTGTGAGGCTGCTGTTGCTCTCCTGCAGGGCCTGGTACTCCTCGTTCAGGAAGTGATAGCGATCCCGCAGCTGCTGCAGTTCTTCTACAAAGGACAAGGAGAGAGAGATGAGCCCCTCGGGAAGAAAGCAATGATGACCAGCCCCCCGTTTTCCTGCCCAGAAACCTGAGAGCAGAGGCTGAACAGTTTACTTTTTTCTGAAGACAGAAAAGAGACAACCACATGCAGAGACTCAAAAGACAGGGCGCAGAGAATTCCACAGCGCAATGAGGCTTTGTTCCCGTTCAGAAAGCTGCTCTTCTCATTTGTCCAGAAGACATGCCCTGTGTCCTTTTCTTCAAAGCCCCAAATGAAGCAGGATTTTGAGCTTTTAGGAGCTTTGAAGGGTTTAACCAAGTTTTTGGTTTATTGTACTTCTAGTTGCCAAAGAAACTGTTTATGATTACCTTCCTATTATGCTTTTACACAAAAAGTTGAGAGATGAGAACTGCCAGATGCCACAATGCCAGTTCCTGCCTTTCAGAGAGAACCCAGGTATTCTGGTCTCCTTTCACTTTTTTTTTTTTTGGCTATAGGAGTGTGTGCTCACCAGAGACACAGAGAGAGAAAGAAAGTGAGAAATCACCCCCTGGGGAGATGGCCACACCACAATTCTTTCTCTTCTAGTCTCCTTTTGAAGTTTTGGGCATGCACACACATACACCCAGTGTGACTCTCAGGCTGCCGGGTCTGGAATGCAAACCATAAAGGCAGCCATGCGGAATCCAGTGCCTTAATCTCTATGACACCTGCTGGCCCCTTTATGCTTCTTTTCTCAGATATATTGGCCTGAATGGGTCAAGAATATTTTCTGACGGTCTTATCTACTGACAGAAAATACCATCTGAACCAGAGCCACACAGCACCCTCAACCATGAGAAGAGATTGGTTTGAAAAGCCCAGCACTGTCCCTAAGTACCAGTCACCAACACTTAATTCTGTGATGAAACAAACATGCATTCTGTTTTGTTCTTTATGACTGAGAATTATAACTCTTAGAACACTAATTCTATTGACACTTCTAATTACAGCACTTGACCTGTTTCACATGTCGGAAGATCCAACACTCTAAGTCACTTTGTTTCCTCTTTATTCCACTTGGAAGCCCTCAGAATATTGCAGGTTATTCATGGAAGGAAAGAAACTAATCTCTAACAAAAACTACCCATATGCTAAGCATTAGACTTGGTTTCAACCTTGAATTCAGTTAGCGTGTGAGTGCTTTCAATGTGCTACATATTTCATTCAATCCACTAAATAGCCCTGTAAGGGTATTTTTTTTTCTTTATATAAACTTTTTTTTTTTTTTAGAAGTATTTGCTGTAGGGCACATGTGCTTGCAAGAAAGACAGAGAGAGAGACAGAGAGACAGAAAGTGAGAAATCACCCCTCTGAGGGGATGGCCACGCCCAAAATCCCTTCTCCTCTATTCTCCTCTTGGGATCTTGGGCACGCACGCGCACACACCTGGCATGAGTTTAAGCCACCGGGTCCGGGACTCGAACCGTGGTCGACTACATGGGAGTCCAGCAATATAGCCATTACACCAACTGCTGGTCCCTCTCTTTAAATAAACTTTTAATTTTAGAATATCTTTAGATTTACAAAATCAGTTGCAAAGATAGTCCAGAGTCCTCTGGGAGAGATTACACTGTGTTTCCATGATTTTTAAAGTCTCACATTACTGTGGTACCCCTGTCACAACTGAGGAATCAACACCAGTACATTACTAGTAACTAAACTCATTTATTAGGTTTCCCTATATTGTCCCCAAGGTCCTTTTCTTATTCCTGAATCCCATCCAGCTATAAAGTTTCTGTTGGTTCGTTTTGTTTTGTTTTAATAGCCAGAGGGCATGTGTACTCTCGAGAAAGCAGGGAAGATGAGAGGGAGGTGAAAGCATCCTCCCCCGCCGCCCACCCCAGTGAGGTATGGTCATGCCACAAACCTGTCTTCTCCATTTCTCCACCATTGGGATTTGGGGCACATATATACACGTGCCCGGTATGTTTTTCAAATCACTGGAACCGGGATTCAAACCATGGTTGACCGTATGAGATCTGGCTCTGTTAACTACTAGGCTATGGGGGACCAGTCCTGTAAAGTTTTAGTAACTATGTGAGTCCTTATCCCAGATGTGGAAATAGAGCATCAGAGGGAAGCAGACTAAGTTCATCCTGCTAACTAGCTGAGCTAAAATCCTGAACTCAGATCTATGTAACTCTAGCCCAAGCCTCTCCACTGACCTAGCCTCCCTCTCCCCGCACCACCAGTCCAAAGGCTCTTCGGAGAGGCTTGATACAGCTGAGAAAACTTGCTGTTCTTTGATTCCTTGTTGATTGCCTCTGCTTGTCCTGGCCAAATATAGGGCCTCCATTATACCCAAATAATAAATCTAGCCCCAGAATAAAGGCAAGCTCTCTGATGTCATGAATCCTAGCAACTAGCTGGGAGACGCACTGTCTGAAAGCAGGGCTCTGAGCTTTTGAGTACCTCATGCATTACTGGAAATAACCTCTCTCCCTCTCCAGCTGGCTTATGCTCTGATTTGTTGCCCCCCTAAAGCTTCTACTTAGGGGAAGGCTAAAGGCGCCAAAGAATTAGCCTCCTGGGCCCTGGGAAGCAGGACCAAAAATGATGCCAGAGTTCCAGGAAGACTTCCCCAAAGTGCCTCTACACTGATCCTGGAACCGAGGACTTTCCCAGAAAGGATTTTTCCATAGTCAAATCAACAAATGCCCAACGTCTCTCTGAGGAAAAATTCTCAGGGTCTAATTCTGACACCACCATGGACTGGCTGTGTAGCATCTGAGTAAGCTTTTCTCCCTTACAGTCTCCAATCCACCTGAAGCGTTTCCTAGAGGATCCCAGTTCGTGATCTAATGCCACCTTCCGCCATCTTCCTGTATGTTATCTCCTCTCCTCTGCTTTGCTTTACCGACAAAGGGCTTGCTCGCATACCTTGTAACCCAGAGAAATCCGAGAGACTTAAACTGCCGGGTGGTTCAGAATTCTTCATTTCCAGTTCTGCACGAAGGGAGGCAATCTCCATCTCGTAATCCCCCCGGATGCGGTCCATGTCATCGAGTTCATTCTGCATGCGGTAGAGGTCGTCCTGCAGAGAAGCTATCTCACACTCATGCTCGCTCGCGGACTCCTCTGCTGCTCGCCGTAGAGTCTGGATCTCAGTCTGGGCCAAATGCAAATCCTGCTGTATTTCCTTCAGTTCACTTTCTTTCTTACGCTCTAACAGGGAAATCTCCTCCCGCAGAGACCGCAGCTCACCTGCAAAGTCCAAAGATTGAATGGTCAAGAGAATAAATGAACTAATCTGCCATGTTCTAGACACAAGTTATAGGTAGACTTATTTATTTTCTAGAAACTCCTGTCTCTATCCCACTGGAAGAGGTATGTGGTATTTTGAAATAAAAGGGGGGGTGGTGGCAGGTAGCTTAGTGGTTAAGGTGCTGGACTCCCATATGGCTGACCATGGTTCGTGTCCTGGACCTGGTGGCTTACATTCTCACTTTCCCCCCCTCACTCTCTGTCTCTTTGGTCAAATTAAAATATAATAATAATAATAATAAGGGGCCAGCAGGTGGCATGGTGGTTAAGGGCACTGGACTCCCACATGGTGGACCACGGATTGAGTCCCAGACCTGAAGGCTTGCTTTCTCACTTTCTTTCTCTCTACTCCCCCAATACTGGTAAAATTAAAATAAATAAAGTTAAATCATTCTTTTAAAAAAATAATAACAAAATTATGGGACCAGCAGGTGGCAGGGTGGTTAAGGCTCTGGACACTCCCACATGGCCAACCAGGGTTCGAGTCCTGAATCTGGTGGCTTGCTTTCTCACTTCCTCTCTCACTCTCAACCTCTGTCTCTCTCTGGTCAAATTAACAAATAAATGAATGAATAAATAAAATAATTATTTAAAAAAATTAAAAAATAACAAAATTAAATAAAGAAATTTTTTTTAAAAAAGAAAAGGGATACCTAATAAGAAAACAAAGTAACTCCATGTATTAAAATGTGGTAGAGGGACCAGCAGTTGATGTAAAGGCTCTGTCACTGGACTCCCATGTAGCTGATCACGGTTTGCATCCCGGACCTGGTGGCTTAAACTCACACCGGGTGTGTGTATGTGCATGCCCAAGATCCCGAGAGGAGAATGGAAGAGAAGGGATTGTGGTGTGGTCATCCCCCCTGGGGAGTGATTTTTCACTTTCTGTCTCTCTGTCTTCTTGGCAAGTGCATGCACTCTATAGCAAAAACCTCTTTTAAAAAAATGTGGTTAGGAAAGTAAATTTTAGGGGCCAAATGGTGGCATGGTCATAAAATATGATGCTCTGCGAGGAGACCCACATAGGCAGGCTGCTGGTTCAAGTACCGGAGACCTCCCTGAGTATGCCAGCATATATGCCGGCTGAAGTTGGGGTGTGAATAGTGCAGTAAGACCCTGTCGGCAGTGCTGTATCTCTGTCTACTTCTCTCACTCGTGGAATAAATAAACTTAAAGAGCCAGTGAGTGGGTGGCATGGTGGTTAAGGTGCTGGACACCCACATGGCAGTTTTGGTCTTGGACTAGGCAGCTCACTTTCTTACTTTCCCTCTCTCTCTCTGGTGAGTGCACATGCTTTGTAGCAAATTAAAAAAAAAAAAATAATTGGGACCAGCAGATGATGTAATTATTACGTCACTAGACTCCCATGTAGTCAACCATGGTTTGCATCCCAGACCCTAGGTGAGAAAGAGTAAAAGGCACTGACACTGGGGCCAGCAGGTAACATGGAGGTTAAGGCACTGGATTCTACATGGCCTACTCCCTGGTTCAAATCTCAGACTGGGTGACTTGAAAATCACGCCAAGTGCACGTGTGTGTGTGTGCTCAAAATCCCAAGAGGAAAATAGAAGAGAAGGAACTATGGCCTGGCCATTCTCTCTGAGAGGGTGATTTTTCTTTCTTTCTCTGACAAGTACATGCACTCTATAGCAAAAAAAAAAAAAAAAAAAAAGAAGAAGAAGAAAAGAAAATTAAAAGGCACTGACACCAGAAGGGAATTTAAGATTTGGGAGTCAGGATCAGAAAATTAATGAAGATTGGGCTGAGAAGGTCAGGTCCTCCCCACAAGTCCTTTGCAAGGTCCATTTTCCCATCCCCTATTCCCTAATCTCTGTTTATTATACTCAATAGTCAGGTTTCAGGACCAGCAAATAGCCCAAAGGTTACATCGCTGGACTCCCACATAGTCAACCATGGTTCAAGTTCCAGACCTAATAGCTTAAAACTCACGCCAGGCGCATGTGCATGCGTGCCCGAAATCCCAAGAGGAGACAGGAGGAGAAGGGGTTGCAGTGTAGCCACCCCCCCAGGAGGTGATTTCTCGCTTTCTGTCTCTCTGTCTCTCTAGTGAGCACACGTACTCTATAGCAAAAATCTCTCTCTCAAAAAAAATCAATAGTCATATATCAATTTTTTCCTTAGTTTCTTCCCCAACTCCTGAAAAAAAAAAGTCCTCTATTAAATGTTCTCCTCCTGCATTTTGCTGTGTGTGTGTGTGTGTGTGTGTGTGTGTGTGTATAGGTGGTTCCTCCCCTTCGCCACACACACACACACACACACACTTGCAATAAGCTTTCTGAAGGCAGAGAATATGTCTGTTTTGCTCACCATTACATCTACAGCTCCAGGGGCTGGAACTCCCTGGTATACTGCAACTCAATAAATATTTGCTGTACTCATGTATAAATGAGACAGAGGTTCTTTTTCATTCAACAAACATTTACTGAGTATCACCTATGTGTACAGAATTATGTGCCTAGGTATTTAAAAAATTGTTATTATTAATTTAAAATTTTGCTATAGGGGGGACCAGCAGTTAGCGTAATGGCTATGTCACTGGACTCCCACATAGTCGACAACGGTTTGCGTCCCGGACCCGGTGGCTTAAAACTCAGGCCGGGCGCGTGTGCATGCGTGCCCAAGATCCCGAGAGGAGAATGGAGAAAGGGATTGCGGCGTGGCCATCCCTTCTGGGGGGTGATTTCTCGCTTTCTGTATCTCTGTCTCTCTCTGTCTGGTGAGCGTACACGCCCTATGGCAAAAACCTCTTCAAAGGAAAAAAAATTGCTATAGGGGATATGCGCTCACCAGAGAGACAGAGAGAAAGGGAGAAAACAAGCAGCCAGGTTTGGGACTGGAACCACCATCAGACATGTGGTCCAGCACCTTAACCACCATTCCACTTGCTGGCCTCCATGCCTAGGTATTTTTTTTAAATCAGAAGAGAATCTAGCCCTTTGAGAAGACAGACTAGGACATACAGAGTGGACAGTGCTGTCAGGAGGTCTTCTGCTGTATTCTCCTGCATTCACACGTGTAGCTCATGCCACACCCTTGGCTAATCCTTCCTACTCTGGAGTGATCCCAGCTGCCTCCTTGGTAGATTCAAGTATTAATGATCATCAACTCGGTGCCAAGCCCAGGCATCTCCACGTAGACTCTCTGACTTCCTATTTGAAAGGAATACAGCCCTTGCTCTATCCACACCATTGAACAGCATGGACGCAGGTGGGCATCTTGGAGACCTATAAGTAAATTGACCATTAGGATAAAGACCTTAACCTGGGGTAAGCTTTTCGTGGAAGGCAGACCAACCTCCACTTTCCTAATAAGCCCTTGATGTTAGGGTTCAAATCTCCCTTAACCCTCTAAGGAGCTATTAAGTTAGCCCTAGTCCCCAGGCTTACGCTGGGTTGTGTCCCTAAAAGACGGTATTTGCAGATCCACTGGGGAATGAAACAAAATGTGAGGTCGCCAGAGACAGGAGCGGGGCTTGGCGACCTAGGGGCGGGGCTTATCCGGAAATTAACTGGGGCGGCCCGGCCTGGAGTGGGGAAATACTGGCGGGTTCTGAAGAGCGGGCGCCGGTTGACTGCAGGGCTGGGACCGTGCGGAGAGGCCAAGGGCCCAGGAGTCGGACTACAGAGAAGCCGACTCGAACTCACTGGTTATGGACTCCATCTCGCCGGCCCCCCGCAAGCGGTCTCCCTGGGGGGGGCCTCCCGCCGCCCGGCCGGTCCGGCCCGGCCCGGGAGGGGCTGTGGCGGGCTGGAGCGGCCCCGCACACGCTACCTCTGAGGCCGCGCGCGCCCCCTCTTGGCGGAAACGGGCAACGCGTGCGCGAGGACCCCGCGGTGTGCTGCCGCCCGTGGGCTCGGCTCCGGCTGGGGCTCCGGCGCTCACGCGGGCGCTCACCAGGACGCCAGCCGGGCCAGGATGAGACCTAATCCTGCAGACAACGCCACTCGGAGAGAAGCAGCGCTCAACCTCTACTTTCCCACGTGGTTTTTACCTGCATTTCTATTTAGATTCTGACTTCCCGCCTGTGGAAAGGAAGATTGCCCCTTCCCCAAAGGCCGTTCGTTTCCTTTTTCAGCTCCACAGACTCTTTTACTTCATCATCTAGACAGGATCTACCGTTTTCTACCTTGAAGAAGTAAAAAAGAAAGCTCTTTCTTGATCCCATT